CACATTTCTAGAATTTAGAAAAGAAAGCACCACCATCACACTTCCACCACCTCCAAAACCACTGCACTCCCATCACCACCACAACATCCACCACCACCATTTTTCTGTTTTTATTATTTTTTAGATTATTGTCCAAATAAATTTTATAGTTTTTTATTTTGTAGAATTATTTTTGAAATCATATAACTAAATAAGTTTTGTGATAAAAAAAACACCAAAAACAATTCTCTAAGATTTTTTTTAAAAATAATTTTTGAATACTATTTTTTAATACGTAAACTAAATAAGAACCTAGATTGATTGACTTCTAATTTACCAACTTGCATTAGGTGGGATAGAAGGAGTTCATCACGTAGGGTCCACAGTTCTGCCTCGGTGATTGGGACCCGTTTTACCCCTCCAGAAAAACCCCCGGTCCAGAAGTTTTAACCACATAAGCTGAGTCGTCCAGCCGACAAGGATTTGGGTTCGGAGTCGGGTTGGCTTGGAGGTTGGTGTAAGGTAGAAAATTCTTAAATCCCTTACATTGAATCATTTTCTTCTAAACAACAACACTAACTAAACTTGAGGCAAACTAAAAGATACTCAAAATTGCGGAATAAATTGATAAAAAAATAAAAAATTCCAAGTTAAAATCAATGAAAAACTTTGAAGGTGAAGATTAAAATTAAACAAAAAATGCTATTGCAAAACTCGGATTGAATAATTTAATCAAAAAATTAATTACTTTGTTGCCCCTTTTTTCAAGGTTTCATTGTGCTCTCTTTTAGGTTTGTTTTCTCTCCGCTAGAAAGGATTTCTCCTCTAGTAAAATACATTCTTCAAAAGTTGTAATAGCTAAGTAATCATTGTAGAAGTGATTTATCCATTTATATTAAAAATAAATCATTTGCAAGTTAATGTGTATGATTAAGACTCCTTATTCTCGTTGAGGGTTTGTTTAGATGGTCTTTAGGGGTTACTGAATTGCATTTATCAAATTCTTCTAAATTCGAACCCAAGATTTTGTACATAGAATGAAAGAATTTATCCTATCCAATCTCATATTTGCTAAATGATATGAATACATGTAGGCTCCATGGATTCATGTCAAGTCATGAATAAGAATTATTATATTTTGTTACTCAATTGACTAAATATCTATCATTGGATGAATAGAAGAATGAATATTTGAATAAGGAAATCTTGTTATCTATAAATCCAATATCTCACTTTTGAAACCCACCCCTTCCACGAGTTTCGTCAAACCCTTATTTATAGGTTTTAATCTATTGTTATTAACATCTCATAATTCAAATCTTCGGTCTCAAATTTTAAACCAAACATAAGTTTAGAAACTGCACATGACTATTTTCATAAAACCCATTCAAACCCCACATGCCATTACCAAACATGGCCTAAAATTTTAAAACTCGCCAAAGATAAAATTTCTATGAAAATAACAAAGTATAATCCTTACCTAGATTGAATTTCATCTTCACATCTCGCTTAAAACTTCTCATTCCTTCACATAGATCCATCAATATATGTAAATAATAGAAATGCTACTAATATTAGTCATAATCTATACTATTAATTGAGGGAGATGTGAGATTTAGTGTTCACCCATAAAATAATTATAAGAACAATGTTACAGAAACTCAAAAATCTGACTTAATGATGTCGTTGTTATATTTGTCATTGATTTAATTGTGGAATTTAATATTTTTTAGAACACACTACCTATTCAATGATAATAATTCATCAAATCAAATTTTTAATTCAATTTTTTAACAATGTTATACTGACTAAAATTTTTTACCAAAATTTTCATTCTAAGTGATGTGACACAGTTTTCATCATCAAATAAATGAGTTCTATTAACATTTAATGATGAAAATTATATCACATCACTTAATATAAAAAATTTGATAAGTATAACATTAGTCTAAATTTATTTAGTATTTTCCTAATTATAATACCCATAAATTGTTTATAATAATTAACTATTCATGACTATCTCTCCTGCCGTATTGTTTATAAAATACCAATATGATTTGATTGGTACCAATATAATGGGTGCCCATGCAAAGTAGTCAAGCGAACGTTCTTCGCCTCTGGTGTTGCCTAAGAAAACGGGAAGGGAATGTACGTGTTGCCAGCAAACCTCGGGTACCTGTATAAATTCTCTCCTTCATTTACCCGACATTTTTGTTGCGTCTTTCACACAACACCCACACACATTCATTCATTCTCTCTCTTTCTCTCCATTGTTGCTTCTGCCCATCCCTGAATACCAATAAACAACTAATCCTTTCCGTGTACACGGAGTCACCGACTACATACACGCGTTTCCATTTTCATTGCGAAAACTGTGCACAAACAAATAAGGAACAAGACTTTTCACGAATCAATGGTCTGTTTGAATTTTGAAGCCCCTAATGGAGAGTTTTTTCCGTAGTTTGACAATCTAAAACACTTATATATGGTTTTGCAACGACAATTCTTGACTTTCGACAGGTCAGTTTTTTTTTTCTCTACGCGAAACTTCCTCTCTCTTTCCTCCTCTATGTGGAATTGGGAAAATAAGGGGACACAGATCCTTTAATTCGTTGATAATGGTCTTATGTTTGTGATTAATGAATTGTTTGGCACTTTTTTCCCAGGTTGTGGATTGGAATTCTTGTGTGCCGACGAATTATTTGTGATTTTGTTTTATCTCTTCAAATGTTGCCTTTGAAAATTTATATGCACTTTACAAAAATTTGATGTGTTTTTTTTTTCGCTAATTTTATTGGTTGGTGAATTTGGGCTGCGCAGTTATGGCCATATTTGGAGATGGGTTTGTGCTTCTGGCCTCGCTACCGCATTAGGATATGGCTACTAACAATTTACAGATGGCTGGGATCAACTCCCATCTTGAAGTGAGTTACTTTCTTCTCTGTATTGCAATATCCTCTCATACCAAATGATTCTATTAATTGTAAACCTTCCTCGGGGATGTACAATCTAGTTACTGTCAGACCACCAAGAAACTCTTTCTTGGTGCTAGCAGAAATGAGTGGAATTGTTGTTCCATGTTCCAAATTGTCCATCACTTATCAGCAAGTGGTGTAACTACTTTGTGTAGTACCTGGTAAATTCAGGACACATGTCCACACCATGGAAGGACATTGCATTTGGGCCCAACAGGTCCCGCAGAATTGGTACAGGCAACACTGCTGCAGCAGCATCCAGTGTCCCACAGAACCTAGTGTCGCGGAAGCACCCAGTGTCACAGGCACCCTGTGCCACGGCAGGCACTGCACACTGCAGGAAGCATCAAGCACGACAGAAGTGCGGGACATATCCTCATCACATTGGAAGAAGCAAAATGGACTCTTGACCAAGAACGGACAATAGTGACACCACAGAAGTCTGGAGGCAACATTGACATGACTCGCATCCCTCATTACGAAAATAAGACGCAAAGTTGGATTCTCACAATTGACGAAATTTCTATCTTCAACCTACCCTCGACGAGTACCCTCGGATTAGGACCCCTAGGGAGAACCTGGAATCCATTGGATGCTCGTTGTGGTAAAATCAACCAATAGGATATTGTTGCTCGACTGGCCAGGGGAGGGGTCCTCACCTAGGGACAAGGCTGTATGACCTTCCTCAAGAGAGAATTGAGCAACAGGAGCATATGAGCATAATTGTCAACCTCAGTCTAGGGCAAAGTCTCGAAGGTTTAGTTTACGTAAATAGGTCTCCCAGTGTATGACTCACTGTTCACTGGGATGTGTTTGACTGAGATTCGGAGGGACTCCTAAGATAACTGGGTCATTGATCCAAATCGATGATGGGACATGTGGATTGGTGGTTAAAGGACCGAAACTATGCGGGTCTCCCTTATTGTGTACTTCGACAAAAGCCTCGAGGGAGAGTTCAAAGAGGGAAGAGAAGATCCCGGATAAAAGTGTGTTAGGGGCACCGCGGACATGACCCTTCCATAGTTATAATCCCGCGCGATGACCCATCATGACCTTTGACCTTGAGAGTCTCCCGTTAACCTTATCTGTTGCACCCCTTCTTGAGGGTTGTGTCCAAGCGGTGTTCGAGGAAACGTTACATCCGCCTAATTAATATGAGGATACTTAGCTCACAGTGAGCGGACACCGGTATCCCCGCAGTCAAGGCAATTGTAGGTCAACACAGATGTGAGTATAGCGTTGACCCTCAGTCCAAGTATTGTGCCATAAATACCTGTATTACTTGCCTACTGTAGGACACACTTCTATCTAGTCTGAGATAGGCATCCTAGTTGGTGAGAGCATTTACCCCCTCCACATACTCTTTGCCCACTAGTTGGTCCCTCCATTAATAGACCACAAGGTTCTTCTATTCCATCTACTTATTCTACTCACCCCATTGAGTACACTTGACTTAGACACGTGTATCAACCTTTTTTAACCGCCCACCTATACTGTGTAAATTTTCAAATCAATTGTGATGAGATAGTGTGAGGTTAGGAGTCTGCCAGTGGCACAAGCCCTGAATTGGAAAGCTGAATGACAACATTTTTTCCCTGCAATCATCTCAAGCATTTCTCAGACTGTTATTGCTATTAAAGTATAAATACTTCAGTTACACTATCTCTAACAACTTAAACTCTTAGAGTAAAAGATGGTTTAACATGATATCAGAGTAGGAGGTCATGCGTTCGAATCTCACCGTCACCTTGCTAATTAAAAGATTTCTACAGGTTAGCCCACAATCTGGCCTACACGTGAAGGGCGTGTTGAAGTGTACATACTTAAATTACACAGTCGCTAACAACTTAAATATTTAGAGTAGATGGTGGTTTACCAGATAGATACTCTATAGTGATTTGCAGTTGCTGCCAACACCAAATGTGAGGTGGCAAACTCGTGGAGATTTACTGCCGATATTACTATCCTGAAGAGATTGTGTATGTAGTTTTAAATTCCACCAGACATTTTGAATTTGTTATCTGATGAAAGACATTGGTTTCACAGATGGGAGCACTAGAAGGGAGATCTACACTTGAGTTTGAGGATGAGAGCCTCGCCAGCCCTGGGCCATTTAGTAATAAGACATCTTCTCTGGATGCAGCCCCGAACAGATTTTTCTTTGATGATGGTTCTGAAGATTTTGGTTGTAGATGTATATGTAAAAGCGTGTTAAGAAGCATTGCAGTTGTTTTCTTCACCAACAAATTAAATTTACTTTTACCATGTGGCCCTTTAGCAATACTGGTTGATAAGTTGACCAAACATGATGTGAGTTACAAGTATCTTACACTTCCAACTTCTTCCATATCATTGTATACATGTTTGTCTTCATGCAGTTCTTTATTGATTTCAGGGTTGGGTATTCTTGCTAAGCTTATTGGGCATCATACCTTTAGCTGAGCGGTTAGGTTGGGCTACAGAGTAATGCTCCGACTCATATCATCTACATATATGTCACATCTACATATGGATAAGAATACGAATACGTGCTAAATATATTTATTTATTCTCTGCAAAAATGCTTAGCTGTGTGTGTCTAATGAATAAACACAGAAATGCTTCTTTTTATTTCACTAGAGGTCCCTATAATTGTTCTATAATATGTCGGTACAGAAGAAGAAAAGTTTTATTGCACAGGTCACGATTTAATTGTTTCATCATTTGAATGTAACTTTGCATTTGACATGAATACCTAAGTCCACATAGCATAGGTTTCATTTTACAATTGCATTAATTTAGATTGATGCACACCTAATACAGTTTCGCCTCTTTCAACGTAGGCAGCTGGCTTCCTACACTGGATCTACAGGTTTCTTCTACTATTTTTTTTTATCATTTGTTGGTTTGTTCTTCATTGTCTCTTCTGATTTCTTCTTATTAAATTATCAGCCTTAAACATTTTTTATTTGTACCACTACATGGTCACAGGGTCTAAATAAAGCTGCCATTGTTCATTTTATTCCATGTCAATTGTCTGATTTTATTCTATTTTGTTTGTGGTTGCATGATTTTAATTATTAGTCCGACTGACTTGGAATTGGTATAGTCAATTCCTTTCCAGAAGTGCACGTCGGTTATGTAAATTAAAATTATATCCTTAGCCACTAGTTTTAACTGCTTTAGCTGCAAAATGAAAGTGAACTTTCCATATATTGTAATCACACAGAAAAACTTCGTCAATTTGTAAGTTGCTCTGTGTATATACTTGTGCTGGCTATAGTTTTGCAGAACTGCTCTTGCTGTTTGTTCATTTGGTTTCCTTTCTCTGCCCTTTTTTATGGGACTACACTTTTTTTAGTTCCATTTCTCCTCTAGTAATCAAGCACAAGGTCTTGCTGTCCCTTTACCAAAGGCAACATGAAACTTTGTATTGATTCTTGTAGTCCAATCGTGTAGTGCTTCACCTTTTCAATTTGAATGGGAACAAATTATTGCTGAAGGCAGTTAAATCGTTGTGTAAAATCGTTCCTTATTCTGGGAAAGCAACCATGGGATGCAGAATGTTATCCAGATTTTAAAATTGAGCATTTAAAGGCTATATCTTCTCCATATTTTAAGTCACCGGTTTGGAATCAGAGGAAAGATGCTGTGTTGAACTGAAAATTGTCTTGAGAATGAATGACATGTTTAGAAGTTAAAAGGACCATGTGACGGTGATTGCTTAAAGTAACAAAGGAGGCCAAATGGTGATTGTTCAGTGCTAAACATTGTAATATGTTAACACACGTGAAATTGCAAGAAGTACATTACTGATTGAACTTTTAGAATGTCAATTTCAACTACTTTACTGTCGCAAAGATACAGAAGAACACCTCTATGGACCAATTAAGCAGTTGAAGTTCCCGCACTCGAAGGTAGCATTGCATCGTTATGTAGAGCTATATCACATCTATCCTAATTCCTATGAAGTCCTGGATAAAGAAGGGAATTATATTATCCAAAGAGAAGAAAGAATCGACTATTAAGAAAAAACATATTTGGACTCTTAATTTTTATATTGCACTTTACATAAGCAAGTAGAATTGATTCTATCATCCTTTTAGCCAATTAACATTTTCCAAGGTCCATGCTGAATTGCAACGATAACATCATCACTTCCCTTAAATACATTATTTAGTGATGCCTTGAGATTTGGGATCTCCTTTTGGTTGTTTTTTGATTTCTTAATGAATGGATACACTACGAATACTAGAAATATAATGCTAGACTAGTGGTACATTTGTTCATTTTATTCTTTTTTAATTTCAAATTTCTCTCGGATTTAATATACTATGACCTTGGTTTGAACTTTGCAGTTGGGGGTCTTTTGAGTGCTACTTTTGGAAATGCAACAGAGCTGATAATATCAATGTATGCACTGAAAAGTGGCATGCTACGAGTTCTTCAACAGTCATTACTGGGCTCAATTTTATCAAACATGTTGCTGGTTCTTGGATGTTCATTTTTTGCTGGTGGAATTGTTCATTCTAATAAGGAACAGGTGTTTGACAAGGTAGGTTAATTGCCATCTCAGTATGGTTAGTCTCCTTTTAGACAAAGGAATACAGTATAGTTTAGGTTTGTGTTATCTTTTTCTTATATAATGATTGACTTATGGTGGGAGATTGAAATCACATTGACAGGCAACTGCCATTATGAATTCGGGATTGCTCTTGATGGCAGTCATGGGCCTGTTGTTCCCAGCTGTTCTCCATTTCACACATACTGAGTTGCACTTTGGGAAGTCTGAACTGGCACTTTCACGCTTTAGCAGCTGCATTATGCTCGTGGCATATGGTGCCTATCTGTTTTTCCAGCTGACGAGCAATAGGAATGCATATTCCCCTGTTAAAGAGGTTGGTCCCTTTTTGTTTTGGTTGATCTCTTTGTTGTTCCTCCGAAATATCTTGCTCATATTGTTATGGTATATTGCGATACACCTGTAGGTTTAGAGTAGAGTTACTGTCAAAGTCTTTAATTGGGGAATCATTTTACTACTGATTATGAAGCATAATTGGGGAGTCTTTTGATGTTATCATAGTGGTCCTCACTACCGTAACTTACGTTTCCAGTTGCTTCTCTCTTCCTAGCTCACCTCTTCAGTTCCTCAACTCGGCAGCCTTTTCACAAATCATGGTTCTTAGGCAAGTTTGGGCAGTGAAAGAACCAAAGTTAACCACTTTGTTGTCTTTTCTAACCTTCCAACGATCAATTTATTTAACAAAAGGACTGATAACGATCAATAATAACAGGCATTCCCATAACTGAGATTGCATTGAAAAGCTTCTTGTAGTTTTATTCCACCTTTTCTTCTTTGTAACTAGCTTTTTTGGTCTGATGAATGGCATGGGTTCAGGAAGAAAGTCAGAATGATGGAAGCTCGGGTGATGAAGAAGCTCCTGAGATCTCTAAATGCGGATCAATAATATGGCTCTTCATTTTGACTGTATGGATATCAGTCCTTTCAGAGTATCTTGTGAATGCCATAGAGGTAGACACATTTTGTTTTATGCGGCACCATTCTTTGGCATGTCTATTTATTTGATTTTTTTTTTACGTTGAATAATAACCATGTTTCCTTTGAAGAAGGAAGTACCTCCTCTTTTTCGGCTTTGTAGCCTTTTTCCTATTCTTTTTACATTGCCAGTGGCACATACTCGTAATGTTAATCCATATGTAACTTGAATAAATATGTCATTCCATCTTCATCTGACTTGCATCTCTCTCTCACAAAAATCTATATAGGTGAATTTTTTCCATGGCAGACAGAGACTTGTGTTTTTGTTTGAGGTCTTCTTACAATAAGCATGCTTATCTTTTCAGGGGGCATCTGTTTCATTGAATATACCGGTGTCGTTTATTAGTGTTATCTTACTCCCAATTGTTGGAAATGCTGCAGAACATGCAGCTGCTGTTATGTTTGCCATGAAAGACAAGCTTGTAAGTGTGTTTCTTGCTTACTTTGTATCAGAATTAAACATGAAATCATTAAGTTATGACTTACTGAATATCTTTGTAGGATATTTCTTTAGGAGTGGCGATAGGCTCCTCGACACAGATATCTATGTTCGGGGTAGGTGTTGAACATTATATATATTCATGTCAACTTCTAGCTGTTGTTAAATAGCATGCATGTGCTCATTTTAACTGCATGTTATACATCTCATTGACTACTTGGCAGCCCAGCGGATGATGTTAATTCCTTCTTGGGTGAATGCTATTTGGCCTATGCCAAAAGGGTTGTCATAAAAAAATCTTCCATCTCTTAAATTGTTCTGCTACCTCCTCATGTTCATCTCCTTCACGGAGTTGTTTAAATGCATGGCCTCTTGCATTGTCCTGATGGTGAATTCCAGTCGTTCATATATTTTACTCAATACCCCTTGATAAATATTAAATAATGTACTAGTGAACCGCATTACCAATGAACTTGTTAGCTTATCATTCACTGGCAGATGCTTGCCTCAGAAGTGTACTCTCAACGCCATCCAACCAGTTTCATTTGATTATACACTTTTATCTTCATAATTTAGATACTATTTTCTTCCAAATAACCTGCCAATTATACGCTTGATGCTTTATATCTGTTTTTGTGAGCTTATCATCGTATTGATGCCATGTTTCAGAAGATCATTCCATGTCTCCTTTGATCATATCCACAATTTAACAGTGCTGCTATCTTCAATATTGTGCTACTCACAATATTGGGTATGTTGCCCATATGTGGATATTTACCTCTTAACACCTGCTTCATTTCTATGACTGCAGATTCCATTTTGTGTGGTTGTGGGGTGGATCATGGGACGTCCTATGGATTTGAATTTTCAACTTTTTGAGACCGCCACTCTTTTCATGACTGTTCTTGTAGTAGCCTTCATGCTGCAGGTTTGCCCTATGAGAAAAATAACTGTTTCTCGACTTTTTGTACCTGCTTTATGGGGGTGCAAATCTCCCATGATAAATGATTTTCTGAAAATTTTTGAGATATAGAATATCTCTAGCTGTGAGCAATCATACTTTTCCAAAATTTGTAATGTAAATTTTGTTTCGAGAGCATCTGAGCATCTATGCCTTTTGTCTATTCGATAATTTAATGTTCATGTTGCATTTGCAGGAGGGAACTTCAAACTATTTTAAAGGACTAATGCTCCTCTTTTGCTATTTGATAGTCGCAGCAAGTTTCTTTGTACATATAGATCCTAAATCTATACGTAAGTTACTACCCATTCTGTCCACCAAGTAAACAACTGAATTTTTACATAAGCTTGTTGGGTTATGTATATGGTGGAAGTGTAGAGAATATGGCTTGTGATATTTTGACCTAGCTTCTCACTAGTCTCTAATTTGATGCGATGAGTCTTGCTAGTTGAACCAAAAATTTGAATTATGAAATCGTGTTCCGATGAGATAATGACATGTTTGTTTAATGTGATGTTTGTCTTTTGCGTTCTATGCTGAATTAAGAGGTTGTTCCATTAATTTTTTATCCCTGATGCTTGAAGCATGACATCCTGAAATGTTGTTTTGCAGAGGATAAACCCTCAAAGCCTTAGTTATTAAAATAGCAAACAGATTTGTTATGAAGACGTGCAAAGCTAAAGGCCGGTTCCATGTCTTTGAAACGATTTTTGTGAACGAAGGAATGCTTTCAAACTTGGTCAATGAAGAGCCATGGATCATGAAGCTGTTCTGCCACAGCTCGAGGTCTGTCTTTCCCATGACAGTGCAATCAGATTGGACATCCATCAAGTAGCTCTAATTTTCCTATAGAATTTTAGCTGTTAGCAGCGGCAGAAGCCAGCGATATGTAATGAAAATGCAAAGAAGACGTTATTATTATTTTATTTGGTTTTTAGTTCTGTGGTCATATACCATTACTTTTGGTGTCATTCCTGCCCTACATATGTATACTCATGAGCTACAATTGAATTGTCTTGTCCTGTTTCATCCTTATTTTTTTCTAGTGTAATCTTTTTTCGGAAAGTATTCATTAATGATTAATAAAGTCTGCTGATAAATCCATTTTGTTTCATAGTTGAATTCAGGCTGCGACTCTTCAACTTTATTGAACAATATTCCTTAATAAGACCCTGCCAGAATTTGAGAAATATACACTTTATTTCCCTTTGTTTTGACCAATTTTCAAGCAGCCGAGTCTTGTTTCGTGAAGGAAAAAATGATGTGTAATTTTGGTTGTTTACTTTTCAATTTTACAATAATATTAAGCCACTGAATTGTGATCAGGCTATTAGACCTGACCTCAACTGAGACATAAACAAGGTTGTGAAGATCATTTGCTTCAAAACATTGGACTCTTGAAATGGTTTCTCGTATATAATTTAGGATTACACTTCAGTGCCGCTAACCTTCTTTTCAGATAGCTTTTTTATATGACACGTGTCCACTAAAAAGTCTATGACAGGTGAAACCGGTATGATATACTTAAAATATGTTATAACTCCACCGAAGTTGTAACATAACAAAAAAAATTATAACTCAACCCAAAAAGGTGTAACACCGCCCCCAAAAAATTATATCTACACCAAAAAAAGTGTTAACCCACCAAAAAATAATAAGTCCACCACCTAAAGGTTGGAACCTATTTCTAAAAAAAGTTATAACCCAAGGTAGAATCCAAAAGTTAGAACCCCACCCCAAAAATTGGAACCTCACCCCCAAAAATCGAAACTTAATTCAAAAAAATTGGAACTCTACCCTAAAATTTGGAATCCAATCCAAAAATATTGTAATCTCATTTAAAAAAGTTGGAACCCCAACTCAAAAAGGTTGTAACTAACGAAAAAAGTTGTAACATTCAATTACGACCGACTGTAACAAATGATGACCGATCTTAATTTATCAATAGACTAGCCATAACTCGTGTCTGAGTTGGGTTAGAACATGTCTTTGGCAAGGGTGGATAGCCCTTAAGGGTTAGAGCATATTTATCGTTTTAATAGTTAAAGACTCAATCTCAATCTAATTAATTTCGCTATAATTCCAGGGCCCATCTCTTTGGATGAATTGAATATTACTAGTCCTCTTCCACATTGGAAGTTTGTACGACAAGAACATTTGTGGCTCCTAAGAGAGCCTTTGAGCCACCGGTATTGACAAAGAAATTAGGAAGAAACAAATTGCCTTAGATGAATCCATCTTCCATTTGTATGGTTTAAAGTTAGTCCAATAATTTTAGACACGACCTATGAAATTGACGGATTTAGGTTTAACCTTCACGATTTTTTGGGTACTAAACAGATAGATCTGTTAGATATTTCAAAAATGGATTGACATGAACTCGAATAAATATGACATAAACATACTAAACATGTGACATGTCATGAACCCAACACGACACGACCATTGACAGGTTAAAAGGCCATAGCAGTCTTCTTTCTTCTCTTCTCTGCATGGTAACAAAAATTTATTATTCGGAGCTTCAATGGTCCCTCCGATATTATTTGTAATGAAAATTCTATCAAGCAAACTGTCAAGATCATTGCATCTTTTTTGCTTGAGAAAAATATTATGTCACAGGGATGACTTGACTTAGAGTTGGATCTGGAGTGAGTCTAATGACTAAGAAGGCGAGGGAGACTTATTTCGTTTCATGCAGAAGCTAATCTATGCATATGGGCAAGAATAAGATTTCATGGGGGCCAGTTCCACATTTTCTGGAGGTTAATTATACTTTGTATTTTTAACTTATGAGTCTGATCTCACTTCAACCATTTCCCCATTGAGTTTCTCACTTCAATCATCCATCAGAGTTCTCCTAAAGTATAGAGTTTGCCTCATTTTGGTCCCAAATATTTCAATTGCATCATTTTTGTTCTCTAATAGTTTAATTGCATCATTTTGGTCCATAAAATATTGAAGATGTTTTTATGTAATCCCTCGAGTAGACAATAAAATTGTTAACGATTTTTTATCATAAACTTGTCACGTTATACCTAAATATTGACAATACATATTTTGGGTAGTTCTTGACCAAAAATATGTACTATGAGTAGCTCTTTGACAAAATTTTGGTCAAGAGTTATCTAAATTATTGTTGTGTCCATATTTTGGTATTAAGTTTTAGAATAAAAAATTATTAACAATTTGGACGTTGTCTGTTTGAAGGACCATATAAAAATATATTCAATAGTTTAAGGACTAAAATAATGCAACTGAAATATTGAAGACCAAAATGAGAGAAACTCTATATTTTGGGAGACCTCCAATATAATTAACCCAATTATTTTTTAGTTGTGTAGTAGAAAACAAAAGAGCAAACTTGTAGTTCTATTCCCATCTTTAATGAGAGATCTGTCTTGCTTTAGTTCATTATGCCTTGAAATTCTCATTTATTTTAATGAACACTTTGTGGCTTTGTAAAAGCAACAAGTTAGTTTATTGGTTAACTTGAAGAATCACGGAACTGAATAATTGAGAATAACATTTGTGGCATTAAGTTGGTGTGACAATAACATTTTGGACCTCTTGACTTTGAACATGATGATTTCCAACCCCCATTTGATCTGTAGAAGACTACTGCTGGTCTTCTTCCTTATCTGGTAAGTTGGTGTCACAATAACATTTGTGGTAGCAAGAAAGGCCCTGAGCCACCGGTATTGAATGAAACTAGCGGCTTAAATGAAACTAGCAGCCAATGTAATTCGATATTACCCTAGTGTCAAACATATTAAATTGCATCAGTATTCTCTATTCTTATTCATGTACTCATCAAGTTTGAACGTCCAAATCTAAGTTAACCTTGTATAAAAATCGAATCTTGCATATAAAAATCTTCATGGTCCTTACATTCTTGGAAATTGATATTAGATTAGTTTGTCTCAAGAATATCATTTTTTTCGAATTTACAGTCACACTCTTAGAATCGTAACAATCAGTCCTATCTACCCAATTTCCCATTAAAATATACTGGAAATCCCACGCACTTGTTTCAACTTAGCCCATATACTCATTTGTGTGTGTGTGTGTGTGTGTTTTTTATGTGTAGTTTAGAGCCGGAACTAAACAAAAGGAATAAATTATTAAAAGTTTCTGAACAGAATTGAGAAGAAAAAATAATCTTCAAGAGGTAAATCCAAACTCTTTTCATAGTTAATGAGTATTTATGGTATTTACTCAAATATTAGTAACCAAACAACAGTATGAGTCGGTATTAATCAACTTTTCACGTAATACTCATATCTCTCCGCCCTGTTTATTGCCTTTTTGCCCAAAAAAAAATTTAGTCTACATTTCAAATTAATAATAAATTAATATTTAGCTCATCAAATTAACACAAAAGTAACATTCAATTTCAAAATTAAATTTCAATTCATTCAATTTCAATTCAAATTCATCCAATTAAAACACAGTTCATCAAATTAAAATCTGCTAAAAAATCACAAATATTAAATCAATGGTCTCAATTATTTTAACGGTGCAGTACCAACAAACATATTTCGGAAGAACCCGTGCAGTGTAGCCTTGTCAGAAGAAAGAATCAGCCTGCCTATGACAAAAGAAAGAGGGTTTCCATTACAGAACTGAAATACCATTTTTTAGTACCGTTTTTTTATTTTTCATTCAATAAATACGTGTTATTGGCGGTATTAGTCAAAAACCGTGTCAACCACGTCTCTTTTGCACTTAATCACCCGCAAACTACGAACTTGGAAACGATCAACCAACCAACGTGTCTCTTGTCAAGCCTCAAACTTGAAATTTCAATATAGGATAAAAGATGACAATGGACGTCAAGGTTTCAAACAGCAGATCTGGTGGGTCATTCAATTTGCCGGGTCAATGAAGTTATGAGAATATTCTTCAAAACATACCTATAATTAATCCAAATTATGAAACCTTGGCCTAGATTTTGCCCTCATGCCACAGAAAACTATCTGGGAACTTGCTTAAATATTACTTGTTTGATCAGATTGGTAGGGAGCTCAAACTCCAACTAGAACTTGCAGGGGTAGTTTAAGTGGTATTAGAGACGGATTATAAATATAAATATCTTAAATTTGAACTTTGACAATCTCTTGAAATTAGGCCATGAGTGATTTATCCCTCATGAATACTCAAGTCGCAGCGTGAATGGTTTGTCTTTGACTAGACCGTCGAAGAGATAAATTAGAGTACGCATAAGTTGACCTGAACACTTGTCAAAAAAAAAAAAAAGGAAAGATCTAATTGCTAAATTACATTTAATTCCTCTCTAGTTTGAGTCAGTTTACATCTAACCCTGGTGATTTTGGACTAAAACTGCAACAGTTAATGGGGTTCACAATTTATTTTACTTTTTGTTTTGTTACAAGGTGTCTAAGTTTATGCTAATTACGCCTTCGAGTTCTGAGTCGGCTACCATAACTCAAACTAGTTTAAGAACATGTCCCCTAAGGAACAAATTATTCAATATTTTCTAAGCATTTAACTATTTTTCTTCTTAAAATTGAAAATTTAGCCGGATGTTAGAGATATTAGACCAAGAAAGAGATTGATTAATTTTAAAGAGGAAAAAATGAAGGGCAAATATCATGATTAATTCTTAAATTTTATTTTCTGTTTTAAAATAGTCTTTAAATTTTCAATTGTATCAATTCAAGGTTCTTAACTAACAAATTTGTGTCAATTTCGGGCTTTAGAACAAGCGGTGACATATGAAGTGGATGGTCACATGACAAACACGTAACTTGTCTTCCGTTTGTTCTAACACATAAAATAGACGGAATGACTTAATTGACACGAAATTAATAGTTTGTGGACTAAATTAAGATAATTCAAAATTCAAAAACCATTTTAAATAGAAGACAAAATTTAAGAACTAATGGTGATATTTAACCATAAATAATTTATATAGTAAATATAGTGTCATAGCCATTTTGACAAGTTATAATATGAGTAATGTTATTGAAATTTAATTTATTGCTCTAATTCACTATAACTGTTAGATTAATTGTGAATCTCATTAAATATTAAAATTTGCTGTTAATTCAATGATTACAATAAAATTAGATTATTATATTAACAAATTAGATTAATTTTTTAGCTATAAATAACATCATAATATTGATTGATGAAATTCTTCTCGTTGGGTTTAATCTAAGAACAATGTTATTAAGACATAATTTGGAGACTTAACGATTGTGGTCATTAGTCGGTCCTGACATTAAATTATCATACAGTCTCAACACTATCAATCAAATGATTACAATACATTAAATCTCTAAATTATGTCTCAACAAAATTAGTGTTAAAGGAAACATAGAGTTTTGTGTAAATCTCCCAAATTATACGCGGAAACTTCCTTGAAAGCGCCATAGAAATGAGTCGTAGCATGTCTATAAATTGGGCTAATCTTAACTTGCATTTTAAAATATCATTCAAATCTTAATTTACACTCTCAAATTTTAAAAATATTAATTTATATCCTGAAAGATATAAATATATATTAATGTGCACCTGAATCTATCTTTCATCTATTTGCAGTTAAAAATTTTTGTGTTAATTATAAATTACACCCCTCAAAATTTAAATATTTCAAATTTATGATCCAAAAAGAATTCCATCAATTAATGATCGTTAAATAACTTTCAATTATATCGTATCATAATATTTTCGTATTGTGCTTGAGTTAATAAAAAAATATTTTTGTGTCAAGTCAATTACGTTGTGTTTTGTATTTCACGTTTACAAAAATTCATTTAATGCAATTAATATTTTTTAAAAATTAAAAAAATACCAAATTTTTTTTTATAATATTTGTTAAATAACTATTTTTTGTCTACAGTTGTATTATTCGTATATAACTTTAATTTGATTAGACAATCAAAAGATTTGTGTCTAATCGTAGACAAAAAATAGTTATTTAACGAGTATTGTAGCCAAAAAATAGATATTTTTTTTTTTTTAAATTTTGAAAAATAATTTCTATTGAGTCGAACACGACACGAATATGTTATGATATGATACAATTGAGAGCTATTAATGAGCATTAACGGAGGAAATTTTTTTTTGATCATAAATATGAAATATTTAAACTTGAAGGATATAATTTATAACTAACCCAAATTTTTTTAACGTAAAAATGGACAGAGTTAGTCCAGGTGCACATTGATACGAATTTATATCTTTCATGGTATAAATTGATATTTTTAAATTTTGAAGGTACAAATTAAAATTTGAGTGATTTTTCTTAATGCAAGTTGAGATTAACCCCTATAAATTTGATATCACGTCCAATCCTTACGAGTTATCCAAACACACCCTCAATTCTCTTAAAGCGCCATAAAAATGGCGAGGATATTGGTTTTGGAAGGCATAGCTGTGGGTGGTGGTGGTGTTAACAATGGAGATCGGCTTTTTAATCATCTCTCAGTTGGAATTCTACTGCTTTGTCAAGTACTCATAGCAATGGCCATCATATCTGTGATGCTGTTTGGATGTGCTGATTGTGCTGATGACCAGACAGGGGCAAGGAAGGCAAGAAAGGCAAGGGGGTGGGCATGGGCATGGGCATGGGCATGTGGGTGGCTGTGGGGCTGGGGCTGGCTGTGGGAGTGGAGGTGGCTGTGGGGCTGGGGCTGGGAGTGGGGCTGGCTGTGGGAGTGGAGGTGGCTGAGATCACGCCACCACCATCACCGCTGCCAAGTTTTCAGTGATGTGTCCGGTGACTGTGGTGGTTATGGTGTTGACTGAGATCATCACCACCACCATGTGTGGCTGCCCTTGTTTCAGTGATTTCTACTCTTTAGAATAAGCCTGTTGTGTGTTCCATGCGCGTTACATATGTGATATGACATATCTCTTCATCACCTAATGTAATCAGGTGACTTCTTTTTCAATTTCATTGTTTGGTCCCTTATTTGCATGTGCATTACACGAATACGACACGAAAATAGATAGGTCAACTCGACTTGACACGATTAGTTAAACACCCTCGGTATCATAGGTTGCCATTCTATCTTCCTTCTCCATGACACTTCCAAAGTGATTTTGGAACTTAGAACGCCCGGGCCAGTATTTGAATTAGGATTGATTAATACTCGACACGAACCCGCAATAAGAAGACACAACACGATTGCCACCATATATATTCCCAAGGAAAATCAACATATACCACCAGCATAAAGCAAAATATTGGAACAATTAACCCAGTTAGTCTAAGTCATTTATATCAGGCTAGCTATTAGACCATATCTCTGTTTGAGACATAACCAGGGTTGTAATTAAGGATCATCTGTTTCGAATTGGAAGAAACATTGAACTCTGCAAACATGATTTCATGTTGAATGCAGTCTCTTCAGAAGAAAGAAAGAGTCTACCTTTGACTGTGAGAAAAGAAAGGGACTGGAATTAATCCATACATTGATAGTGAGGACATAGAACTATAGAAGAAGCATGAGTTATCATGCTTTTCCAACTCAAACTTTCCCAATTGAGGGATAAATATGTCATCAATCTGATTGAGTTTGATTATCTATATAGTTTTTTAATAACCAAGAATCTCAACTACGCGTTTTTTAGCTGTACAATCACCTATAAATTATGTGCATTGAACCAGCCCAAGTATTTATTATAGGACTTGAATTTAAAATTTTGAGATAATAGCCATTGAAATTGTAACAACTGTGGCTATCGAACTCCAAGTCCAGATCCTAGGATCTTGCGGTTCTATGATCCAGTACAAGAAAATCAATTTGTGTCTCTTGTAGAATTTCAAAATTTTAGGATCTTAATAGATTGTGATCTGAATTTTACTGGATCGTAGATTCCCGATTCAAATTGTGAGTTTACCGATCCAAGTTGTTGGGTTTATTTATCAGCCGCATTTAGTTATTGAACAAACTCAATGCATATTTATCGTTTTTTTTTTGTGTCCAATGTTATGCGACTACTCCTTCAAGTTCAGAGGCTAGCTACCATAACTTGAGCTGGGTTAGAACATGTCTTTGGCAAGGGTGGATAGCCCTTAAGGGTTAGAGCATATTTATCGTTTTAATAGTTAAAGACTCAATCTAAATCTAATTAATTTCGCTATAATTCCAGGGCCCATCTCTTTGGATGAATTGAATATTGCTAGTCCTCTTCCACATTGGAAGTTTGTACGACAAGAACATTTGTGGCTCCTAAGAGAGCCTTTGAGCCATGGGTATTGACAAAGAAATTAGGAAGAAACAAATTGCCTTAGATGAATCTATATTCCATTTGTATGGTTTAAAGTTAGTCCAATAATTTTAGACACGACCTATGAACTTGACGGATTTAGGCTTAACCTTAACGATTTTTTGGGTACTAAACAGATAGATCTGTTAGATATTTCAAAAAATAGATTGACATGAACTCGAATAAATATGACATAAACATACTAAACATGTATCGTATCATAATATTTTCGTATTGTGCTTGAGTTAATAAAAAAATATTTTTAGCAAAAAATATTTTTGTGTCAAGTCAATTACGTTGTGTTTTGTATTTCACATTTACAAAAATTCATATAATGCAATTAATATTTTTTTAAAATTAAAAAAATACCAAATTTTTGTTTATAATATTTGTTAAATAACTATTTTTTGTTTACAATTGTATTATTCGTATATAACTTTAATTTGATTAGACAATCAAAAGATTTGTGTCTAATCGTAGACAAAAAATAGTTATTTAACGAGTATTGTAGCCAAAAAATAAATATTTTATATTTTTTTTAAAATTTTAAAAAATAATTTCTATTGAGTCGAACACGACACGAATATGTTATGATATGATAGAATTGAGAGCTATTAATGAGCATTAATGGATAAAAAAAATTTTTGATCATAAATATGAAATATTTAAACTTGAAGGATATAATTTATAACTAACCCAATTTTTTTAACGTAAAAATGGACAGAGTTAGTCCAGGTGCACATTGATACGAATTTATATCTTTCATGGTATAAATTGATATTTTTAAATTTTGAAGGTACAAATTAAAATTTGAGTGATTTTTCTTAATGCAAGTTGAGATTAACCCCTATAAATTTGATATCATGTCCAATCGTTACCAGTTTTCAAAACACACCCTCAATTCTCTTAAAGCGCCATAAAAATGGCGAGGATATTGGTTTTGGAAGGCATAGCTGTGGGTGGTGGTGGTGGTGTTAACAATGGAGATCGGCTTTTTAATCATCTCTCAGTTGGAATTCTACTGCTTTGTCAAGTACTCATAGCAATGGCCATCATATCTGTGATGCTATTTGGATGTGCTGATGACCAGACAGGGGCAAGGAAGGCAAGTGGGGTGGGGGTGGAGGTGGCTGCGGGGGTGGGGGTTGCTGAGATCACCGCCACCACCTTGACCGCTGCCAATTTTTCAGTGATGTGTCCGATGACCGTGGTGGTTATGGTGTTGACTGAGATCATCACCACCACCATGTGTGGCTGCCCTTGTTTCAGTGATTTCTACTCTTTAGTATAAGCCTTTTGTGTGTTCCATGCGCGTTACATATGTGATATGACATATCTCTTCATCACCTAATGTAATCAGGTGACTTCTTTTTCAATTTCATTGTTTGGTCCCTTATTTGCATGTGCATTACACGAATACGACACGAAAATAGATAGGTCAACTCGACTTGACACGATTAGTTAAACAGCCTCGGTATCATAGGTTGCCATTCTATCTTCCTTCTCCATGACACTTCCAAAGTGATTTTGGAACTTAGAACTCCCGGGCCAGTATTTGAATTAGGATTGATTAATACTCGACACGAACCTGCAATAAGAAGACACAACACGATTGCCACCGTATATATTCCCAAGGAAAATCAACATATACCACCAGCATAAAGCAAAATATTGGAACAATTAACCCTGTTAGTCTAAGTCATTTATATCAGGTTAGCTATTAGACCATATCTCTGTTTGAGACATAACCAGGGTTGTAATTAACGATCATCTGTTTCGAATTGGAAGAAACATTGAACTCTGCAAACATGATTTCATGTTGAATGCAGTCTGATGGGTTAAACCCAAATAGTCCAATTTACGTGTTAAAGTCCAACCCCAGTTGAGGAGCTCAACCTCATTTTGATTCCACCAAGCCCAAGACAGTCCAAGACCGGTTAGACTTTCTGCTTAGCACGTCACCAAGAGGAAAGCATGAGAAGCTTATCTGCACCACCAAAGGAAACGGTCCAAATCCACCAAGTCCAAGACGTCCAAGACCGGTTAGACATTTTGCTTAGCACGTCACCAAGAGGAAAGCATGGGAAGCTTATCTGCACCACCAAAGGAAACGGTCCAAATCCACCAAGTCCAAGACGTCCAAGACCGGTTAGACTTTTTGCTTAGCACGTCACCAAGAGGAAAGCAGGGGAAGCTTATCTGCACCACCAGAGGAAACGGTCCAATCTTTGACCACGTTTCATGAAGAGCTCCCCAACCTCCTCCTTTCGTTGAGAATAAGTCGTGATCTCCACCAAGAATAATCTCTTAGCTGCGATAAAGAAGCCCTGAGGATAAGTGGTGATCTCCACTAAGAATAATCTCTTAGCTGCGATAAAGAAGCCTTGAGGATAAGTCATGATCTCTACAAGAATGATCTCTTACCTGCTATAAAATAGCTCCAATCTGGTAGAAAAAGGAGAGGAAGGTCACGCCCCACCAACACTTACAGAGGATAGATCGACGACCGGAGACCACTTTCTTTGATTCTCCATTCTCTCAAAGCTTGTATCTCTATTCTTCATACCTCTGAATTAATAAAATACCCGGCAACTGAAGCCATTGAAGAGTGGACGTAGGTCGAATTGACCGAACCACTATAAATTGTGTCTTATTTAATTCTTTCATCGATTTCACTGCATTTATTATCTACACTTGACAGGTGGTGTGCAAAACCATTTTTGTGCATCATCAGTTTGGCGCCGTCTGCGGGAATCGACAAAATTCTCACTCTTGAACATTACATCCATTAACTAATGGTGATCACTACTCGATCCATGAACCAACACGAAGACAATCCTCCACGAGAGGAGGAGGTTGTTCCCCCGACTATCAACCCTGTTCTGGATACTCTAGCCCCGAATCCCCAGCAAATATTGGAGACCATGCAGCAACTGGTTGCTTAAAACCAACAGTTACTGCAACTCATACTTGTGGACAAAGAGCAGCTCCACAACTTGTTGACGGAGGTGCACAATATAGAGGACCCCAAGGAGGAGCACAACACGGAGATGCACAACATGGAGGGCCCCACGGAGGTGCACAACATGGAGCACCCCAAGGAACTCCATGTCCTGGACATAAAAGAGCTCCACATCTTGCACATCAAGTAGCTCCACAACTTGTTGACAGAGGTGCATAATATGGAGGACCCCAAGGAGGAGCACAACACGGAGATGCACAACATGGAGGGCCCCACGGAGGTGCACAACATGGAGCACCCCAAGGAGCTCCACGTCCTGGACATAAAAGAGCTTCACACCTTGCACATCAAGCAGCTCCACAACTTGTTGACGGAGGTGCACAACATGGAGCACCCCAAGGAGCTCCACGCCCTGCACATCAAAGAGCTCCATGCCCTGCACATCAAGCAGCTCCACAACTTGTTGCTCCCTATTTGGGCGCTCCCTTTGGAGTTCCCTTGGGTGCCCTTCATAGGGGAGCTCCCCACGGGGGACCTCCACCTCCTTTTCCAGCTCCCTTTTCTCATGGTGGGGGCTTTCTTTTCCAAGAGGACAAGGGTGAGAACCAGAGCATGGAGCATGGAAGCCATTTCCAAGATAATTCCAGAGGAGCTCCCAACCACTGGGACGAAAAAATAAAAGAGGTACAAAATCAACTAGACGACATTTTCAACACTATGAAAGCACAGAGACCCGAGATAGTGGACTGCCTCGTAAGTCAAACCAACACACCCTTCGTACCTAACGTGACGAACTACCCACTTCCCAAGAAGTTTAAAATGTCATCCGTTGAAACCTTTGACGGTACGAAGGACCCACTTGATCACCTCGAAACTTTTAAGACCATGATGCAACTACACAACGTCCCCGATGAAATTATGTGTAAGACATTCCCAATTACTTTGAAGGGATCAGCGCGACAATGGTTCGCCAAACTCACCCCGGCCTCCATAGGCTCCTTCGCCGAACTGAGCAGATCCTTTGTGACACAATTCATTGGTGGACGCCGCCAACAACAGCCTGTCATCCATCTGCTCAGCATAAAACATGATCGTAATGAGAGTCTAAGGAGTTACCTCACTCGTTTTAACGAGGAAGTCCTCCAAATCGAGGAACCCAATGACAAAGTTGCCATGACTGCCTTCCTGGGAGGCCTTTGCTCATCCAGATTCCTTTTTTCAGTAATAAAGCAACCACCAAAGAGCATGCCAGAACTATTCACAAAAGCTCAAAGATATATGAATACTGAGGAAATCAACAAGTTTAGGCAAGGTGAATCATCTCACAGATCACCAGAAACTTGATCTGCCTCTGCACTGTTCTCAAACAGGCAGCCTATCGCCAGTTTAGCGGCTCTCTCACGGGTCGCCAAAAAACTTGGCCTCTGCACTGTTCTCAAACAGGCAGCTTATCTCCAGTTTAGCGGCTCTCTCACGGATCGCTAAAAAAAAAAAAAAAAACTTGGCCTCTGCACTGTTCTCAATCAAGCAGCCTATCTCCAGCTTAGCGGCTCTCTCACGGGTCGCCAAAAAAAATTTTGGCCTCTGCACTGTTCTCAAACAGGCAGCTTATCGCCAGTTTAGCGGCTCTCTCACGGGTCGCCAAAAAACTTGGCCTCTGCACTGTTCTCAAACAGACAGCCTATCTCCAGTTTAGCGGCTCTCTCACGGGTCGCCAAAAAACTTGGCCTCTGCACTGTTCCCAAACAGGCAGTCTATCTCCAGTTTAGCGGCTCTCTCACGGATCGCTAAAAAAAAAAAAAAAACTTGGCTTCTGCACTGTTCTCAATCAAGCAGTCTATCTCAAGCTTAGCGGCTCTCTCACGGGTCGCCGAAAAAAATTTTTGGCCTCTGCACTGTTCTCAAACAAGCAGCCTATCACCAGTTTAGCGGCTCTCTCACGGGTCGCCAAAAAACTTGGCCTCTGCACTGTTCTCAAACAGGCAGCCTATATCCAGTTTAGCGGCTCTCTTTGGGATCGCCAAAAAAAAACTTAGCCTCTACACTGTTCTCAAACAGTCAGTCTATCGCCAGTTTAACGGCTCTCTCACGGATCGCCAAAAAAGCTTGGCCTCTGCACTGTTCTCAAACAAGCAGCTTATACCTCAAGCTTAAAGACTCCCTCATGGGTCTTTAAGCTTATATCTCACGAGCATTTCTCCAACTTTGTCTTTGCTCTCGTGCAAGCAGCCTACTTCTCTCTCTCCAGATAATTATGTGAGATATTTTAATGTTTGGAATAACATTATTTTTGTTATCACAAGCAGGCTCTCCCGAGGTAGCCCCAGGCTCACCCAAGGCACCCAACACCTGGAGAAGGGCTTGATCATCAAGAGCAGCACCCAAAGCTTCCTTACTACTTGCAATGTCTAGCCCAACGCCTAGAAGTGTGCCTGACTGCTGTTGCTCGTCAAAACAAAATTGCCGAGTAGCTTGAAGGGTGTCTGGCCCTTCAAAATTGCACAAAGCAGAATTTTTGGCGCAAAAATCAGTACCTAAGGGGCCCAAATCAGCGCCTCGAGTGAGAATTGGATCAGCCCGTGCTCCCAGGCCACTGCCTAGCTCCCCCTGATAAACCTTGGACTGATTTTCAGCGCCCCTTGATGGAAAAATACTGTTGTCCAGCGTTTCAAAGCTGCCCAGCGCAGCAGAACTGAAGCTGCCCAGCGCAGCTGAGCTGTCCGGGACAGCAAAAAGCAGCAGCCAGACTGCTGCCCAGCGCACCTGGGCTGTCCAGGACAAGATGAGCAGAGCCTAGGCAGCCGCCCAGGCCCCCACCGCGCGCGCGCGCGCGCTGCCCAATCGCGCGCCCAGCCGTCTCCCTTCGCTGCCTAAGCCACTCCTCGCACTGCCCATCTCCCCTTCGCTGTCCAGCCCTTCATTTTCAGCCCCAAAGCTGTCCAAAACAGCATTCGAATGCTCAAAACTAGCCTCCAAGTTCTCCAAAATGGTGCCTACTTCCTCCCTTTCTTCAACCTCCACCACTCCCTCTTCAATTGACATTGTTCACTTGAGAAACTCAACTAGCAAGGAAGAAATCACACTCTTGAAAGGATTCAAGGAGAACACACTTTGGCTTCAACAAAATGGGTAGGACTTGAGTTCTCAAAATTTTCAAGAAGTGGGTGCTCAACCTTAAAAATGAGTGAAATGGATAACATGAAGAAGAAGACTATATTTATAATCTAGGGTTTTTCAAAAAGAGGAAAAAAGCCCAAATAGAAAATTATGGGCCCTCTTCAAAATAAATTGGCCAAATAGAAAATTATGGGCCCTCTTCAAAATAAAAT